GTCACTTTGGCCCCCATTGGTTTTCCACCAAATGCCCTCGTCGTTATCGACACGAGCACATCCAGGTCAAGGAAATGCTTGCTGTCGTCCATGCGATTCTATGCTGGGGCGATGCATTCACGGGCAAGCACATCATTTTTCACATTGACAACGAAGCCGTCAGTAACTCACTCACCAAATTTTCCATACGCTCGCCTCTGACATTGCTGCTCTTGCGGCATTTCCTCGCTCTTTCTTGCCGCCTGGACTTCACGTTTACGGCCACGTGGCTTTCTTCCAAAGCCAATGCTATTGCTGACGCTGCCTCTCGCTTCGCATACACTCGCATGTTCGAGTTGGCGCCTTACCTCAACCCTAAACCTTCGCCCAAACGACTCCGCCTCGATCCACCCAGCGCTTCACTCCCCGCTCTCACTCTTCCACGTCCCCTCAACATCACATTCGGAATGGATCGAGGACAGCCGCATCCAACCCCGCCGTTCACCTCGCCGCTTACTTCGTTGTCCCGCGATGCCCCAGTGTTCGTCCCACAAGGAGCTCATCATTCCTCTTCTCCTATCCCTGTACCTACCCCCAGCTCCCGCCTCCACGCTTCTCCTCACGCCTAGGCGGCATCCACCCACCATTCCACCAACACATCCCGCCATCATTTAACTCGACACAATCATCATTTCACTTTCTAACCTCAATCCCTACCACCACATCATATGGCTCATCCTCTCCTCGCCGCTCTCGATCCTCTGGCCCTTCGCGACTCCCTCTCCCACATGGCTTGAGTCTGACCCATCTGGGCAGACCCGAGAACTTTGGACCCAAATTATATTTGTTCCCAAACACACTCGGATCGTCTTTCCTCTCCTGTCCCCTTCTCCATCGTTCCTCTCTCTCGCCCTCCCAGGAGGCGAAGAAGGTTAACATTTTTTCTTTAGCGCCGCGCCCGGAGCAATAGCCCAGTTATTGAATTCAAAGTCTCTGCTTCCTAAATGGAATTGCCGCCCGGTTTTCGCATGTTAGCTTCGATTTGGCGCCCGTCGATCGTAGACACTTTGAGAAACTCATGATCGGGGCGTGAATCAACGCAGCATCTACCGTCTACCGATCAATCCGGTATCCTCGTGAGGTTCGACTTTGGGATAGTTCTTTTGTCTGAATTCCGTCCTGCACTCGAGGAGCAGATGAATGTGTTGCCACTAGGCAGTGATTTTCAAGCCCAAGGCTAAACAGCCTAAAGTTCAGCGATGTTTCTTCATTTCTTTGATCACCTCCCTCAGATGGTCTGGGAATGTTTTGCGTCAAATGTATCTAAAATGTACTGAATAACATGTTCCGCTTTATATTGTAGGAGTATTCAATCGAAACATTTCAGAAATAAAGATCTATAAAGATCTCGAATGGTGGTGTATATTCCATGGCCGCGAAGGGCCACTAGAATATCATAGTTTTCTTCTGCCAGGTCCCCGCCGCGGGGATTCTATGAGGCGATGATACTCATAGTCGTCTGTGCGCCGCCACGAGGACGAATTGCATTGCGGCGATGTGGGGCGGCGCCGCGGCGGCCCTCGTCATTCGTTGAAGATTCATTCACACTCTGGTCTACTAGTAGAAACATCCTAACCTTCGGGCTCGCCCTCCACCCACATGCCTGCACGCTTGTGTACGTACTGGCACGTATTCCACGGCCGCGAAGGGCACTAGAACATCATAGTTTTCTTCTGGGTCCCCGTCGCGAGGATTCTATGACGCGATAATACTCATAATCTGTGCGCCGCCACGAGGACGAATTACGGGAATGTGAGGCGGCGCCGCGGCGGCGAAGATTCACACTTCTGCTCTAGAAACATCCAAGCCTCGGGGGTCGACGGCGCACATTCAATTGTATGTATGTACACGTACTAGTAAGGTATAAATACGGAATGCCGGGCGAATCCACACAGGCTCTTACCCACCGAACCTACTCCTAGCTCCTAAAACAATGCTCTCTACCCGCTTCATCGCTCTTGTCGTGGCCTCGATCGCGGCCATGGCCATCGCTACTCCCGTACGCACTTCGATATACTATAGTACGCACTCCCACGTGTCTATATAACCCCCTTGCAGGATACCGACGGCGGCATCATCAAGGCCTGCCAGGGACCCAACTGGACAGGCCAGTGCGACACGGTCGGCTTCACCGCGGACGTGTGCTTCAGGCTCCCCGACCGCCAAGTCAACAACCTCGACTCTGTGGAGATTCCCGGCGGTTGGATCTGCACCTTTTATAGGCAAGTGCCGTGTGTTCTGACCTGCTGGCGAGAAATTAGTATAACAACTGCGTAGTGGTGGGTTCGACTGCGACGACGGTCAACCGCAGAGCGCTACGATTCTCGCGCCGGGATCGAGCAATTTGTATCTCCAGAGGTTCAACGATGCCGCCAAGTCGTTCAAGTGCTTCCGTCGTTGCTGGTGAGTCGCTGTTGTGAGTGTTCAACACCGATCTGAACAAAGTTCTTTTGCAGATAAAATTTGGCCCCATTGGCCCAGAGTTCTGGTGTTTTCTACCAAAGTGTCTGTCTGAATGTACCGTTCGTAGTGATTGATAAATTGAGTCTCGAGTCGAGCAAGCCAAACGTCCGCTCCCAGTACGCGGCATGCCATCTGGCCTTATTCATTCCGCCCCCTGCATATTGCTCCTCCACTGAGAGTGCATCGAAGCCGATGTCACCGAAATTCTGTGTGAATTTGTGTTCCTCCCATCAGCAAACCCTGATTCCTCTATGGGTGCTATGTAGTACTCTGTAGCACTCCAGAGACATGGACCTTCACTACAGCACTACAGGTCACTACAGGTCACTACATAGCACTATGTAGCACTATGTAGTGTCCTGTAGTGCCGAAAAAATCAGGGTTTGCTGATGCCGCAATCATTATCTATGCGATCTTATCTGAGCACTGCTTTGGACGTGACTCACTCTTGGAGCCGTTTCGTCCCACCACATCGATGGCCTCGCTCGCGGACCTACCACAAGAACTGGTGGACCACATTGTCAGTGAACTCGGCGATGACCTTCCTAGTCTGTCTACCTGCGCCCTTATCTCCCCCGCGTTTCTTCATTGGAGCCGTCAACGCCTCTTCCGCTCCGTCCGTGTCACCGCCAGCAACCTCTACGCCTTTGGCAAGCTAATCGAATCCTCGCCGTCTCTCGCATCCCACATCCACCTCCTCAACATCCCGAAGATGGATTTCTCCGCCGTCCTCCCGGTATCCCTCCTCCCCCGCCTCCCCAACCTCACCCGCATCGTCACCCACCGCGATCCTTTTGACTTTCGCCATCTCTCCCCCGCGGAGACCACCATCCTCGCAGGGGCAGTGGCGCGCCTCACCTCCGTCACCGTCCTAATCGACCGCCTCTGGACCCTCCCCGCCTGGGCCGCCCTCCTCAACGCCTGTCCCGCGCTCACACACCTGGCTGTGCACGCCGAGGCCAATGGCTGGGGAACCTGGACCGCAGACGACGTCGCCCTCCCGATGCCCCTGCCTTCCACCGACCCCGTCCTCCGCCTGCACTCCCTGCGCGTCTCCGGCGACTGCAAAATCCTCTCCCCCCTCGGTGCGTGGCTCCTCCCCCAGCACGCCCTCGCCGCGCTCTACACCCTCGTTCTCGACGTGGATTACGTGCTCGAGGATTACTCGGCGCCAGATGCGCGCCTGCCGCTCGTACGCGCAGCCGCGTCGTTCCTGCGCGAGCTGACATTGAGTCTCGATCCGCGTGCGTCCTTCTCCCCCTCCGCCCGATTTCCGTACTTACACACCCCCACAGCGATGCCCCTTCTCCCCCCATCCCCGCCCTCCGACGTCCCCCCGCTCTGCCTCGCCACCTCCTTCCCGCACCTCCGCGCGCTCCACCTCACGGACGGCCCCGACGCCGAGATCGGCCCGTCGCTCGTGTGGCTCGCGGCGTTCCTCGCGCCCCCTTCACTCGCCCCCACCGCCGCGGGGCTGCAGCGCGGATACGCGGAAGTGGAAGTAGGAGACGGCCCCCTCGAGCGCCTCGCGCTCGACCACAGCATGACGCGGCGCGACCTCCTCGGCGTCCCCGCTGCGACGTGGCGTGCGCTCGAGGACGCGCTGCTCGGCGTCGGGGCTTGCGGCGATTTCGATTGCGCGGCGGGTGCGGGTGCGGGTGCGGGTAGGGGTGCGTGTGGAGACGCCGCAGACGCCCAAATACTAAAACCACGCACACCGACCCCCACCCCGACACCAACACACACCCCGACATACACCCCGACGCCGTACCCCCACCTCCGTACCCTCACCTTCACGGGCTACGTCCGCACAGCGCGGTGCGCGAGCGATGGCTTCGAGCTTTTTGCGACGGCGCTTGGGGAGAGGGTGCCGAGGCTTGCGGGGAAGGGGAAGGGGGGGAGGGGGGTGTTGGTTGTGAGGCGGTAGTGCGTGGTAGGCGTGCGATGTAGGGATGAAGTGGGTTGGTGGGTACGTGGAATCGTTTTAACGCACCAGACATGTTTTGATCACACTAGCAGATTTGTAGTACCCGGCGGAGAATGACAGTAGCAAGTAAAACGAACGTGAATGCTATGCATAATGTTGTAAATCCTCAGCCGCTGCTCTCGCTCAGACTAGGTACGCACCTATGAACCTCTGAACCTGAATATATACGTCGAGGTGGGTGATTGGACTTAAACTGAATCAAGTCATGTCACCCCCTGGGATTGCGCCAGCATAGTTCGGACGTGGTGCATGGTGCGTACCCCAACTGTAGGTGTACTTTAAGTGGGAGCTCCGGGTTCGATTCCCGACGTCCGAATACATGAGCAGTTCGTTTTTTTTTCCGTTCCTTCTAGAGTCCCACTTTACGCTAATTGCCCGGATCCTCTCGTCGGTCCTCTCTGAACCTGAACACATCGAGTTGAGTACTAGTAACCCCACTGGGTACTTCGAACTGAATCACGACATTCCTCAGTCCACCTCGTATCACCCCCTGGTATGGCACATGCATAGCTCGGACGTGGTGCATGGTGCATACCCCGCCGTCATGCCTGCTGCATAGTGCACTTTGAGTGGGAGCTCCGGGTTCGATTCCCGACGTCCGAATGTAAGTGGCCCTCCCAAGTATTACTCTTTCTTTCGTTCTTTGCCTTCGAGTCTCAGTCGCGAATTTAGGCGGACGCAACCGGAAGAATCACAGGTCAGTTCGAGTTTCTTTCTGTTCCTCTCGAATAATGAATCACTCAACGAGCGAATCAGGAAATTCGACGCCTCAAGCTTGTGGTTCCGCGCGGTCGCGCTCCAAACTGAGTCAAGGCATCGCCCAGTCCTCGTGTTGCGCTCTTGTATTGCAGAAGGATAGCTCGGACGTGGCGCATGGTGCATACCCCAACTGTATTATACTTTCGTGGGAGCTCGGGTTCGATTCCCGACGTCCGAATACAGGAGAAAGTTCGATTTTTATTATTATTCCTTCCATGCGCACCTTGTCAATGCCTTCGCGTCTCATTCGCAAACCGGAAGAAGCCAGACGCGCCCGCAAGGATCAGGCTGGTGCGTCCAAATTTCTCTTTGAATAATCACTCACGGAGTGAATCAGTGAAGTCTTCAAAACTCTTCATCCGCGCAGTCGCGCTTCAAGCTGAATTCAGGCGATTCTCAGTCCTCGTATCACCCCTGGTATTGCACGAGTACTCGGACGTTGTGGCCCATGTGCCCTAGTTACAGCTCACCGGTCACGCCTCCTGCAAAGTGCAAAGTGGGAGTTCGGGTTCGATTCCCGACGTCCGAATGTAAGTGGCCCTCCCAAGTATTTTTTTTTCGTTCTTTGCCTTCGAGTCTCAGTCGCGAATTTAGGCGGACGCAACCGGAAGAATCACAGGTCAGTTCGAGTTTCTTTCTGTTCCTCTCGAATAATGAATCACTCAACGAGCGAATCAGGATATTGGACGCCTCAAGCTTATGGTTCTCAACTCTTCATCCTGTGTGCTTGGGCAGCATATCAAGGTATCGGATGTGGTGCATCTGCGCATGGTGCGCATCCAGCTCTATTTCTATTCCAGCGATCAGACTCTTCAAGCTTCGGGTTCGACTCCCGCCGTCCAATACTTAGGTGCAAAAGCTTTTTTCTTTTTTTGTTCATTCTTCTTCCTGGGCAGCCGATCTTGCAATTCGCTTCGAGTGCTGTATGTAACACCCACTAAACACCGGCCACCGTGATCGAATAGCTCAAGTGCGTCTGTTCATCCTGATACTCACTCACTTGCTGATTGACTACTAGGAAGTCGAGCGTTGAATGGAGGAGAATACAAAATCTCCGCATCCTATGCAGTCCTTGAAAGGAGGAGATGTCGGACGTGGTGCATGGGCACGTCGCACGTCCTTCCTTGAAGTCACGAAGGGGAGCGCCCGGGTTCGAATCTCGGCGTCTGAATGGATGATAAGTTGCTTGTTTTGGCTGCTACCGAAAGTGGGCTCACTAATTTTTCCAAGTAGCCACAACTCATGCGCTGCGATAAGGAAGAATGATGAGGTAGGTTAATATTCTTAGACATCGGACGTGGTACATGACGCAATTACACCACCTCAGACCTAATATTTGCGCGATCGAAAACTCCGGGTTCAATTCCCGACGTCCGAATGGTTCCGATGCGTTGCGTTTTTTTTTGGTGCTTTGCAATTATGTACTTTCGAACTCTATACCTCGCAAGGAAAAAACGAGGGAAGGACCAGCCTGAGTAAGGGAGGCAAGTTCACATCTTCCTCTGTTGGTCCTGTATACCTGATAACGGATTATGCAGGACAGTTTGAACCCGTGGGACGAATCCTGTGCATCTTGACGTTTGCTTGGGGTTGAAAACTTCGCGTTGAAAGCTTCGCCTTGAGTAAGTATCGGGGAGATCGCCGAGATCACCGGTCGTGCGGCGTTTAGTGGTTGGAATCTCTTGTGGGTGTCTTGAACTGCCACACCGCACACACTGACCGTCTCGATTCAGAACGGCCATAACCTACCTTCTCCCCGCTTTCCATGCTCTCGCTTCCATCTCCATCTCAGTCTACTGGATCATCAAACATCTGCGAAAGCACCGTCTCTCTGGCCCGCCCTCGCCAAGCTTTGTTTTTGGCCACACGAGACAGATATCCGAGGCACGCAACCCCGCAGAGCTCTATGAACGCTGGGCGCAGATGTACGGGTCTGTATACCGCATCCGGGTCCCTCTGGGGACGGATAGTATCGTTGTCTGCGATCCCAAAGCCCTCTCGCATCTGTTCGCGCTTGACACGTGGAAGTACTCCCATCCTCCACTCGCGCTTTTGCAAATAACGATGTTGGTGAGCCGCCCATTATTCTCATTGCGTGCATGCGAAATTCATTCGTGATAGACGGGCCCGGGTAATCTGCTGGTATCCCTCGGGGAGTCGCACAATCGGTTAGTGTCTTGCTGTTATATCGATCGCAAGGCCGCTATAACTTTCTTTCAGACACCGAAAAATCCTCAACCCGTTGTTCGCGCCAGCAGCTCTCAAACGGTATACTTCTGTCATGTACGATTCGGCATATAAGGCAGGTTCCTTTCACACACAGCGCGAGCACCGGCTTATGGAATCAATCCGGGATAGTTGTCTACAGCTTGGGAGTCTGAGCTTCAGGCAAGTGCGACGAATGAGATAATGCCAGATATCTCTGAGTGGTGAGTCCACCGCAGACAGATAGCCCTCTGCTCACCGCTTTGAAGGATCAACAACTTGTCGTATGTGCTTCCCTTCCATCCCTATCCCCGCCGACCGGTTTCAGATTCGATATTATTGGACTGGCCGCCTTTTCTACCGATTTTAAATCACTGGATGGCGAGAAATCGGCTGTGGCGACAGCGCTAACTGCCGTGGGCCACGCCAAACCCTCCCCGATTACCTCCAAGATATTCCTTCTCGCCCAGGCTTTCCCTGTTTTGTTCGAGCTTCCGCTTCCTCGTAGCACCCTCTAGGGCCTTGTATATAATTCCCGGCGACTTAAAAACACGCTTTTAATACCGGTATGTAAACGAGGTGTTTATAAACGTGTTTACAAACCGTAGGTAAAATTTCCCACGGTTCCACCTGGGCGTGTTCAAGTGAGTCTGCAGCGCAAGAAAATGGGTAGAAACAGTTTAATAATTGTTATGCTGGACTGAATTTACAGGGAAGGGCTGAGTGATCCTCCTCAACACAATTTTAGAGGTTAAGATCTGCCCAAAATCCTCCGGGAAGTTGCCGGGAACGCCCTGGCAGTAAATTAAAAACCGGGCATTTGAGTCGTTCCATTTAAAAACGGGTTTATAAACACCGGTTTACAAACCGGTTTGTAAACACGAATAATATACAAGGCCCTAGCACCCTCGCCATGGGGTTTTCGAGTGCAATGGACGAGGTCGTCGATAGACTCATAAATTCGGCGGAGTCTGGTGACGACGAAGATAACCTTAGGTCCGCGTTGGGATGTTTTGCGTGAGTCGTTCCTCTCATCTTACTTACACTACAAGTTCACATCGACGCCCACATCAATCAATAGTCGGCTCAAAGGAATTGTCTGCCGAGCAGATGCGTATTCATGTGAGTATTCCTCAGCCTGGTTGGTGCTTCTCTATCTTTTGACGAGATTGTCAGGCAAAATCTTTACTTCTCTCGGGATTTGCGACGACTGCCAGTATGTTTAGCATTTTGTCCGACCGCATTGTTTAATATGACGTTTGAACCTAGGTGGTATCAAGGCACTTATGCACTATTCCTCTATAATGCCTGGAGCTAACCCGTAGCGCAGTGGGATCTCGTCGAACTTTCGATGCAGCCGGAGACGCAAGATCGGCTAAGGGCGGAGCTTATGTCCTTCTCGACGACAGAGCCCTCGTACGACGACTTCGTATCCCTCGCACTGCCCTACCTCGACGCTGTCGTGCGCGAGGCCCTTCGTCTACACCCGATCCTGAGCGAGTTTCTGTAGAAAGTTGTAGTTGGTTCGAACGGGGAATACAAGAAATAGATTGTTTATTCAAGAAATATCCGAGGTCTTTTATACCTCTCAAGACAATGGTACAAATAAGGTGCGTAGTATAATGAAGTCCAGGATACAAATGGCGTCAGTGGAGGTGAAGCTTGTTTCACCTTGGTTGAAACCGCCACTGTCAGTTTCAACCCAGTGCTGTGTACCCACGTGGTTGCCTGGTCCGCGGAGTTCCAACAGTTTCCCCGTGTGGTGCGTTTTAGAAATCAACATCCACGTCACTATTGTTGATCGAATTCGTGGGTTCCATGCTTTAGGCTCTCGAGGGCGACATACTACCCCTCACGACGCCCATCTGGACCCCAGCCGGAGAACTCCTCGATAAACTCCCCATCCACAAAGGCACCGTGGTCACCGTGTCCTCGTATTATACAAATACCGCGAAATCTATTTGGGGAGAGGATGCGGCGGAGTTTAAGCCCGAGCGGTGGCTGGACGGACAAGATGTTCCAGCCGCTGCCAAGGAGTTGCCCGGGTATCACCACACCATGGTCTTTTCCGACGGTCCCCGGGCGTGCTTGGGCAAGGGATTCGCGCTAACTGAGATGAAGGTGATTTTTTTGCATCCGTTATAAACTCATACATATTGATATCCTATCTGACGTGCTACTTAAATCGTGCTAGCGTTGCTCATCCCCAAGTTTGCGTTTTCTCCCCGTGATGGGATGGAGACCAAATACAACAGAGCGATGTTCCTCGGCCCTCACCCGAAGGTTGCCGGTGAGCCAGGTGGCCGATTGCCTATGCGTGTGAGGCGGGTCGAGGCCGAATAAATTGCGGGTTGGAATCTCGTTACCGGCTTTCTGACTTAACTATGATGTTCGCACTCGGGAACGAGTACGCTGCAACTGAGGACGTAACCACTGATGGCACTCCCCGGCCAAGAGTTTCGGTCGCGATCTCAACATGCCGAAATCCTTCTTCTCAAGCCGGCCGAAATCACCTTTGCCGGTGCTCTGCCAAGTTGAATCTTTATTTTGGCCCCGGATGAAACTGCACACGAAACGATTGGTTAGGTGTGGTGGATACAGGATCTGAAGCCGAAAGTTTCGCCATTCATTCGGACTGGGTCCGACCTGTGTTCGCGACGAATATAAGGATCAGTGAGCGTTGATTTGTTGCCGATGTCAGCCGCTTCGGCACCATCTTCGCCGAGCCGCGTCTGACAGTTTCGTGTTCCTTGGCCCAATCGCCTGGGGCAGCAGGCAGACAGAAAATAGTTTACGATCTGGTACGGCACGGAATTGGAAGAAAGGCTGAGGGAATCAAGAATTGAAGCTGAATCATGAAGGGCTGGGGTTTTGAATTTCCATGTATGCGAGATCAGCGGCGAGGACCCGTATCCTTGTTCTGCGAAGAATACCTCGATCGGACTCGACATGGAAGTCAGGAAGTGTGCCGGCCGGGACCGTCGGACCGCCGTCCGGTTATTAATGCATCCAGTGGCACAATTCTGATTGCCGGCCATTTGCTTCCCACCACCACCATCGAGCGCGTTTCTTTTTTCTTTGTGTCCTGCCGTTCAAACTCATCCCGGACCATCGGCGTCGCCTGAAAAGCTACGGAGGGTCTCTATACAGGTACCCTTACTCACGGTCAACCTGCCCCGACTTGCTATCCCGCTCACGCTGCAGCCCGCCGCTGTAGTAAAGCCTGATAGCACCACTTCCAGTGCGTCAATCCCTTCCTCTTGTTCAAGACTTGAAGTTCAAACTCGAAAAAATGTACTGCCCTTCAACTTTCTAGGGTCTTTTGGCGATTGAGATACCACCGTAGATGGACTCCGAGGTTAAAACTTCCTCTGACCTTCGAAGAGTGCTCGCTAATGATTTCAGGAACGTAACAAGAACGCAAGATCAGCAAAAACACAGGCTTGGAACCTGGTGCTGTACTTGCCTAAAGACAAAAAGTGGATCCCAAAGACACCGAGACGCGATTGAAACATGCGACTTGCTTTACCTGCGTCCCACTTCTGGGATCTCCATCCTTGCTGGGGGTGTTGATGCTTTGGTTCCAAGCCGGCATGTCCCACGTTCGACCGAAGTCGAGTGACGATCCACTTTATATCCTTCAAGCAACCAAAGTAGCTCACGTCCGGAAATGTCCATGACTCGAGACAGATGTACTGGCATATCTGTCAGCTTCAACGTTCAACGTTCGGTCTATCAGCGAAACCCTCCGATTAATACGGCTACCCCATGCACTACAAATATCTGGACACGAAAGAAGACTGACGTTTCCGGACCTTGATCGCCCCCCAGATGTTCGCCTCCCGACTTGCCACTCTGTTTGTGCTGGCTCAGCTGGTCCTCTCTCAAACGGTAAGGCCGTTTTCATTCGGAGCATATCTATCGTTGAACCCATGTGAAACAGACGGTTCTTCAGTACAAGGAAAC